CCAAGGAGGTGTGGGCTGACCAAGTTAGAAGTTTCAAACACCCTCTCCCCTTCCAAAGCCTTCGATCCGCTTGGGAATCGGTTTTCCAGGCGCCCGCAAGTGGCAATCGAAAGGGGATCCCGTTCACTTGGAGATCCGTTAGGTGTCCAATCGGGGCCACCGAGCTGTCTCTGGAAAGGATTGGGTGGTCCATGAAGTCCTTTACCGAGCTCGTCAACGATTTCGGAGTGGTCCTGGGTTTAACCGTGTGTTCGCCCTCCCTCGTCAAAAAAGCCCTGCGGGGCGGAGTTTTGCGTCAGTTGCAGCGCGACTCAGGTCGCTCCTTAGGTCTCGGCGACAGGCTCTGTTACGACGTGGCGAAGGCAGCTCTGGTCTCGTCTAAGTTCAATGCCCTGGAGAAGGGCTGCGTTCGAGGCATGTGCTGCGGTGCTACATGGCCATGCGATCGTGCTACTCCCTGTGCGTACTAGCTGGCCTCCAATCTGTGCCCGATGTGTCGTTCTGCTCCCGGTTCGGTTTTTTTTGTCACAGGATGTGGGTTTGCCCTGCCGTCCAAGGCACGAGGGATGAGCTGGTGAAAAGCGATATCCAGGAGGCAGCCCGAGCCATCGACCCTGATTGCGCCGAGAATGTTGTGTTGTACACCAGAGGCATGTTCCCTCACCCTGGTGACCAGTGGCCACGCCCTCGCGATGCTGGCGGCGTTGTCGTGTCTTGGGCCGATGACCCCGAGCGGGTCGACACCAACGTCTCGGGGGACATCTTTACTGATGATAGTTGTAGGAAGCACATTATTCAGGAGTTGGCCAGAGCGAACTGGGGCCTTACAGCCCTGTCAGATAATGGTTCCCTTTTGGTTTCCATCTACGGCCCCATGCTGGCCCCCTTCCCCCAAACCAGTCAGGCGGGGGAGCGCGGGGCCTTTGATGCCGCCTCCCAGTGCATCACTGGCCCCTCGAGGGGCCACTCGGACTGTTTAATCGTGGTTCGTGTTTTTGGGGAGCCCAGGCCTCTGAAGCTCTCTTATAGGCGCCCTTATTTGGGCCATATGTTCACCTCCCTTTCCGCACAATGGGAGACTGTGCGCAAGGTCAAAGCTGACGTAGCTGACTGCGGAGATCTCACTCCCGAGCAGGCCTTCAACAAGAAAGGCAACGACGCCGCCGACGCTGCGGCCAAGGCTGGCCTCGCTTTCCACCCCGCCCCATCACCGTCCCAGCAAGATGAGCTAGCTTTCAAGATTCGTGTTGCCAAGGCTGTGATTTGTTTAGGGGTCAAGCTCATGCCTTTGTGACCCAGACTGGACCTCACAGGTGTGAGAGTTGGCCCGCCCTTTTAAGCCAGATGAGCAAGATAGTGTTTCAGGTTTTGTTCATGATTGGGAATGGTGCAGGTCCTATTGGCACTGTCGAGTTTGCCTTAGGATCAAGAGGCACAGTGGTTTCGTTGTCGGTTCATCCCCCTGCCCCGACACTGCTGGGTGCTCAGGCAATACCCCCGAGAGCCTCAACAATGTCGCGTCGTTGGGGCACAGATTAGTAGCATTCCAGTGCAATGACGATTCCCCGCGTTTTGCTCGTGTATCGTGTAAGGCTGTGTCGGCCCTGGGGCCCATCTCTCTGCTAGGAAAGGAATGCACCCACCCGGCAATGATTCATTTAGAGCGGTGGAAGTACAGATTCTGCAAAGGGTGGAAGTACAGATTCTGCAAAGGCAAGCACCCTAGGAGGAATGGCGTGACTCTGGATATCTCTCCTTCCGACGAGGCCCTCCTGGAGCCCCCCCTGGGCCAGCAGCCTTGTGATGTCGTCGACTCGTCGGTACCTTCGGTCCCTTCGTCGTCGTCTTCTGGTGTGAGAAGTGCGGCTGGCCCAAGGTCTCTGATGATTCCAGCCCACTCGCTTACCCTGGCAAAATAACAATGGGCGAACGCAATAACGACCGCCCTGAATGTACAAGAGCCGCTGGCTTAAATTCCCTGCCGGCAAAGCTAAAGCTGCTCTTCGCGCAACTGCAAGTCGAGTAGCAGGGAGCGACGAGAAGAGAGTCTCCCCTGAGGGCCCAAACCCTGGTGCCCCTGCGGCGGCCCTCGGGCCCGTGAGGGGAGCAACATCCACGGGCGTGATGGAGGCAAACGCCCTCCCCTGCGCACTCCGCGACTACGGCCACCCCGTCAGCTGCGTCTGGAGGTGCTGGTCCGTCTCTTCCTTGCCCCCCCCCCCATCGATGCAGGATTTGGGGAAGAGTGGCAGCTGCCTGCGGAGGTGCAGATCCTCCGAATGGAGGATGGTGTCCCTCCGCCTGGGCAAGCTGCCCGCGACATGTCCGTGGCTTCCATTTCCGACGATTCCGACTGACCTGCCGTTTCTAGGTGCCCGGTGGTGCTCGTCCTAGCGTCGGCCACCGCTCAGGTGTCTTTCATCGGTGCCCAATAGCTGGCCCCGATTCACCCTGGCATCCTCCCCCAGGGCACGGCCCACGTGAAAAATCCTCCTCCTCCTCCTCCTCCTCCTCCTCCTCCTCCTCCTGCTCCTCCCTCTCCTCCTCCCTTTCCTCATCCCTCTCCTCCTCTCTCTCCTCCCTCTTCTTCCTCTCCTCGCTCTTCTCCATCCCTCCCTCCCTCGTCCCTCCCTCCCCCCACAAGGTCGCAAGACTTGCAGGCCAGTTCCCCGAAGGAGGGACCCCGCCGTGGCTCCACCCCTGCGGGCTCGACACGACTGGGTTGCTCTTTTGGCTCCCAAACATGTGGCAGCAAATCTGCGAAGAAGCCTGGAATTTGGACGCCCGAAATGGGTACGGAAAGAATGGGCACAATGCCCAACAACAAATGTTGTCCCAAGCCAGCAGCGGCCGCTGTTGGGCAGGCGGCCTTCTGTCTCGCATGGGCGCAGGCCGCGGCGGCGCGGACAGCGCATCCTGTTCAGAATGAACAGGCAGGAACTGCTGCAGGGCATTGTACCCACTCCTTCCGTACCCATGTCGGGCGTCCAGCTGGAAGGAGTGGGGCAGGATATAGGCACACTGGAGGGCGTGCTGTGGCCTCCGGCAGCGGCTTGGAACCTCAGCCGCACTTTTTTTACTTGCGCGAGAAGGTCGCCCCGTGGCTAAGGAGGAGAGAGGAGAGCAGCAAGGGGGGGGAGAGCAAGAGGAGAAGCAAAAGCAGCAGCAGCAGTGCAAAAGAGGCGCGGCCGGCGGCCGACGCCTGGCGCCCCTTGGAACCTCAGCCGCACACCTGGGAGCACCACAGCGCGACGCGCGGCGGGCCCCAGTGCCCCGAGGCGGCTCGAGGCGGGCCCCGCTGCCCCCCAAGAGGAGCCGCGGGAGGCCCACGGCGCGGCTGCAGGAAGCCCTGAGAACGCTCCGAGAGGGATCCAAGAAGATCCTTGGCGGCGCGCACAAGGGGGTGGGGGGATAAAACGACGCGAAGATCGGGGCAGAATCGGACCGGGATAGCTCGAAATCTCTGAGGATCGGCGGGCTTGGAGGATGTATTGGGCGCCGCGGCCGCTCCAGAGCGTTCCGGAACGCTCTGAGAGCGCTCCGGAACGCTCTGGAGCGATTTATCCCGATCCTTGCCCTGTTTTAGGGGAAGGGGGAGGGCTTCTTAGAAGGAGACTGCTTCTTAATAGGCGCCGGCCTTACGTCTATAGAGAAGGGCCGCGCCTTCTAAAAAGCAGGGGTGCTTCTAAGAAGCCCTCCCCCCTCCCCCCCACCCCCTCTGCGCGTGGCTGAGATCCCCAAGAGGGTCCCGAAGCAAAAAACGGTAATTCCTGTCAGGCGATTGAGGAATCATGCATGTCCGCGTTCTCCCAGTTTCCAGCTTCCGACGCTCCAAGACGGCCCGGGAGGCCCCCAAGAGGCCCCCAAGAGTGATCCAAGAGGGCCGCTTAAGACGGCCCGGCGCCCCCGAGTCTGCCCCAGAGAACAGCAGGAGGGCTCCAAGAGGGGTCTCAAAGCGGGAGAACACGATCTGGCACTTCAGGGAAGCCAAAAGGTGCCCATACCGCTGCTCCCCGGACCTCTCCCTGGGCGCGTTCTGACCAGGACTTCGTGGCGAATCCAGCGGTGGCGACGAGGGCCTGGCAGGAGGCCGAAAAAGGCTGTTCAGCGCGCGATGCTGTGCTGCCCTCCTCTGGCAGATTTCTCGGAATAACTGGGCCAGCTCGGCATGTAGCGCTGTGGCGCCGAGCGCTTCGTCGGTGGAAAGGCGGGCTCAGGCAGCGGGCACGACACGCCAAACCCATAAAGGGCAGGGAGGGGAGAAAGGGGAGCAGGAGAGAGAATGCCGCGAAGGGCAGCGGTATGGGTGTCCTCTCTCGTGCTCTGCATGTTCCAGAGGCTCGCCCCAGGAAGCTTTTTAGGTCGGGCCTGTCCCCCTACAGGCGGATCTTCGACGAAAAATCGGAAATACCAAAAAATACTCCAGGATGGTCAACAAAAAATTAGAAAACATCGTCCCAAAGTATTGTTTGACTAGTCTTGAATACTCCTCCTGTAAAGGGACACGCCCGACTTAAAAGAAGCTCCCGGGAGCCCTCCCGCAGGAGGCACCCAAGAGGCCCGCGGCACGCTCGGTCGGCGTGCGGGCCTTCCCCTCCTGAGGGGGCCCACTCTGCGCTCTCGCCCCGCGGGCCTCAGCCGCACAAAGGACAACGACGTCAACGGAGGCGACGGCGCGGGACACCCGAGACCTCCTCCTCCTCCTCCTCCTCCTCCTCCTCCTCCTCCTCCCTCTTCCTCTCCCTCTCCCTCTCCCTCTCCCTCTCCCTCTCCCTCTCCTCCTCCTCCTCCTCCTCCTCCTCCTTCTCCTCCTCCTCCTCCTCC